TATATATATATATATATATAATGATATACATGAGCGTCAGGGCTACTCTTGATTTCCCAAAAGTGATAAAAAGCGAGCAATAGCAACTTCACATATGTCACATCATGCCTTAAAATGATTATAATATTTGATCTGAATGAGCTGTGGGTGAAAATAATTATCATAATGTTGCTTTTTTTTTTCTTTGGCTGAAGTCTGAAACCACTAAACTCAACTTGTAAACGTCACATGACCAAACTCAGAAGCAGGGAGGTCGTGATTGGTTGTTACCCTGAGCCTTTGTGCACTGTGATGTCATTTTCAGTCGACAGCAAGTGGCAAAATGGCCGCCCCCTTGAGATGGATATAAACGAGTGGATTTTGCTGCTTCAGTCACATTCCACTGGCGCAGTATTAATCAGAATGCCCTGTTTAGACTAGTGAGGCCGCACTGTTGTAAAGAACATTTTGGAGTTGACTTCTCCTGTTATTAACGTTCTCCAAACCCCCTACGCAAAGAAGATAAATAGCGTCGGGATTTGACGCTAGCATGATTGATTGAGCATCCACCCTAAATAAAATCATACAATACCAAGCAAAAGAATACATTGTTTTTCTCAAAATTGTGAAAATGTACTTATATCATATAGAATGTACATATATATAATAAAATGCCATCTTATACATTACATCAATTATTTGATGCGTTACAAGTGTGAATCATTTTTGTTTCTTCATTAAATAGATTTGGTTAGAGAAAGTAAATTACGTATATTGAAAAGCTTGTCTTATGATACCCGCAGTGAATATTACAACACAATGTTGAACCGTATTGCCTGTAGAACATACAGTATTAACAAGCCGTTATTGTACTGGGACTTCCCTTAAGGAATGAGCTTGATAGAGAGTGAGCAGCAGGGCCCTAAGACTCTGACTTACTGGAACAAGCTCTTCTCTGTGTATTTTATTCTTTATTATTTTTCGAGGGTGGAAAGGTTGGCAGCTATGAGATATTACCTGCAGTGTCACATGAAAAAAATCCCTGTCTACCCTTCTGTGAATGATTAAGATGACGCAACCGCAAATGGCCCATTACTCACAATCAGGGATTAAATGGCGTTATTCTTATTATTGAAGTTTCAAGGTGCTGCTTGTAATTAATAAAACAGAGCACATCTATTGGAGCCGTTTTTAAATGAGACACACGGGTCACGTGCTCAGTAACGTGAGCAGCAGGGTATCATCCCACTTACCGCATCCTCTGTCTCCCTCCCAAAGTGGGGGGAAAACTGCGGAGTCATCACTAAGTCGGGCTCGGCTGTCAAGATGATATCCACATGGCGGCCTCAAAGGTCATTGCACGATCACAGGATGGGGGAGTTTCATAAATTCAACACAAATGCAACATGAAATGATTGTAATTGTTTGAATAATGTGCTGCGATGCCTTGTCAAACACTTGAGTCTAAAATAATCATTCCACATCATGTAAATGCCTTTATTCTGCCCCGTCCCTTGTAATTCTTCTGGTATGCGCACCTTAGCCAACAGGGGGCAGCGAATACAGAAATAAAGACACAGTCAAGAGTTTCACAACTGTCTCAGTAAAAATACTTATAGTAGACATTTTTCCACAAAGGATACAGAAAATACACATGTTGGTATCATCATATTGTCTGTCTACATGTGATGATGCACCATTTGTGTTCAAATAGGGCCACATCATCACTATTGTTTCCTTCAGAGGTCCGTTATTCCTGTGAAACCAATTAAATACATCATCGCCTGATATTACATAAACACAAACTGATGAATAACTCATTTGACACCAGAGGCCAGGAAAAACTGTTTGTTCAAATATTATTTTTCAAAGCGGGGATTGGTCACAAAAAATGCCTACGATATCTCAAAGTTTTCATAAATGAAGACAATTTGCAATTTTGGTATTTTAGCAAGAAACATGAAGTCCGATGCACATAAATTGCTTTCACGGGCCACGTAAAATGATGTGGTGGGCCAGATATGGCCCCCTTGACCACAAGTTTGAAAACTGTGACCTTTGGGGGGGGTTATCTGTTGTCGAAGCTCCTCAAGACACAGCAGCCCGATTCAGCATGTTGCAGCTTCCAGAGGACGTCCAGCTGTTTGGTGAGCCTTCTTCAGCAGACAGGAAGCGTTATGGCTTACAGGTGAGGTTGGAAAGCTGGAACCCAAAGCACTACCTGTAACCGGAGACCACTTCCACTGCTGTGATGTCTGTTAGCACCTGGGTCAGCTGGTGGGCACCGTTCCTCAATACACGCCGGGGGGGTGTTGGATCTTGTCAGGGCCCGCAGCTTTGCAGGAAAACCTTCTTTGCAGAGTTCTTCTCACGTCTGCGGCGTGTCATCGGGTTGTGGTGGGAGTCAGACGTACTTTGTGGATACTTTTAATGCCTTTCGACATACTCCCAGGGTTAATGGAGGTGAAGCAGCGCTGGATTTTCGGAGCATAAGAGTATTTTAGCCCCCCTGATGCTTGCAACAAGCTCTCTTCTTGCTTCCTTGAGTGCTGATGCTTCTTATGCCCCGAAGGCAGCAGCCCTAGCCTTCACCTCTTTATTCAGCCAGGGCTTCTGATTCAGGTAGATGGTAATGGTCTCATGGTGTAGACGTCATCAGCACATTTTGAGCTCAAGCCCAGGACGGATGAAAAGGTATTCCTCCATGTCCACTTCCCCTTCCTGAGTCGTTGCTTCCCTCAACATTCGCCAGTTTGTGCACTGAAAGCACAGAGGAAGCATCATTGGACCACAACTTGACACCCCTGAGTGTGAGCTCGGACGGTTTCCTCATTGCTTTCTCGGCGGTCGTATTGAGATGTGGGTGGAGAAGCTGAGATGAGGGTGGGGGAAGGTCTGCGTTTCCACCGTGCACGTTTATGTACTCAGCATCCGGTTTGTTTCCCCCCTGCGTTGGTATGGCGACATGCTGGGGAAAATTTGGGGAGTGTGCCTCAATTTATGTGCTTAGAATCAACAATATCTGCCTGTGAGAGAGGCAGGATACTCTTTGGACTGGTTGACGTATTGACAAAAACGATTCCCACTCACATCCATGCCGATTGAAAATGCAGACTTCAATGAACCTAACATGAATGTTTTTCATGAGTGGGAAGAAAATATTCCATGGAGAATCCCGATTCACAAAATGGTGCCCGACCTGGGTATCAACTGTGCTTTGACGCCACTTGGTTGTTTGATAGTAAATGATTTATTCCAAAGCAGGAGTGTCAAATTCGTTTTCATTGTGGGCCACGTCATAGTTTGGGTTTCTCTCAAAGGGCTGTAATGACTGTGGAAAGCAAATACATGTATGATATTACGTCCATACAATTTCTCCGAAATGTTATTGTTATATTGTAATTGTATTTGAATTTGAATTTAGAAGAAAAAAATAGTGGCAACCACATTTAAATGAAATAAGGATTTGTTAAAAAAAAAACGCTTGGAATCATGTCATATTTGCGATTATTTAACATTTTGCAATAGATTTTCTCCAATCTGAAAAGACCTCGCTCCTCACCCAAAGTCACCTGTGATAGCCTCCAGTTCACCTGCGACCCTAATGTGGGACAAGCGCCATGGAAAATAAACGGATGAGTGATTTACATATGAATCGTACATTTTAATACCCAATATAAGTCTAAAGCAGAGTAATGTAACTGGAATGAATTGCACGAGTCCAATGCTGCCACTTTGAGGCAACATGGAGAGGCGCGACTGACCATGCGCTGTAACACAACTATGCCGCCAGGGGGCGCCCATCTCTCTCCGTCTCGCTCTCTCTCTCGCGTTCTCTCTCTCGCTCTCTCTCTCTCTCTCTCTCTCTCTCTCTCTCTCTCTCTCTCTCTTTTTCTCGCGCTGGATTATTGAATGTCTGAGCCCAACTGCTTCACTCTCATTCATGTTGGCTGCTGCTCTCCTGTGCGCAGGAAGCTGCCGAGCTGAGTTTATGGACCGGAGCTGATTCTGCTGCCGCCTGACATCTCGGCCGGGAATTTAAAGGACTGCACCTCTGTTGCTCCCATGACATCTTTCATGAGTTTTTCTGAAGGCAGAAAATACAGTTAAGGACTGTTTGAACCAGTAAGTACTAAACTTTTTGTCCGCACTTGTTCCATCCATGCACCCATTTAAAGTGTGCGCCGCGGTCATTCCGGATTCTCCGAACCTTTTCTCACTGTTGTGTTTTCTCTCATGTTGTCCGCTTTTCACGAATAGACTGGGTCTGTTCATGAGCTTCTCTTTCCATTCCATCAAAACGTGTTCGTTTGTGCGCACGCGAGGACGCAGACGCTCTTGCAAACCGACCGACACTCCTTTTCCTTACCCGAGTGGTGCTGCTCAAGTTCTTTTAAGGCGGGAGTTGGCTTCAAATCCTGCGTGGTTCCGTCTTGAACGTCCTCGTTCTTGTGTGGCCCAATTCGCAACGTTGCACCATTATAAATATCAAAATGTGTCCATAATTCAGGTGTCACACCTACAACGATTTCCACAAAGGTTTCACACTCTGCGCCGTAAAGTCTCGTCTCTCCACGCATCCACCTACTGGTCACAGCATTAGGGACACCTGCACGGTCTCATCGTCCAACACAAGCGCTGCATAAAAATAAAAAAAAGAGGAGGAAAAGAAAAGCTTATGCTTAAATAATAATGCTCACGTCTGACATTGACACTGTTAGGTGGTAAACGATTTAATAACCTCAATGGTGTTTCTAATCTACTGCTTTCTCACAAGGTGGCCAAAATATTACGCCTCTGACTCTCTGAAGTGCGATGCAGTGCAGTAACTTTAACTGGCGGATATAGTTCATAGGGTTCTATAGCTCACAGGTGTCAAATGTAAGGCTCGAGGGCCGGATGTGTCCTGCCACATTATTTTGCATGGCGCACAACAGCATGCTACAATTTTACCTTGACTTTAAAACATGTTAATCACCGTGAAAAAAAAAAAAATCTAATGATAAAATGCAGGGGCAATTATGTCATATGATGGGGGGTGATTATTAGGGTTCTTGCTTCTGGTTCTGGGTTCATGTCAGCAAACAAATACACCACAGCTGAGCTTCTGGATAGCTTACGTCACCGGCTGTTTTAATTGGAATTTAATTACATCTGTGAAAGATGACATTTTTTTGGGTGGGGAGGGTGGGGAAGTGTGTTCCCTCACGGCACCAAATGTGAATCATCAAACCAATTTGCATATGTCACTGTAATTGTTGGTGTGCTGTTATATTGCACCCTGAGGTAATTGTAACAAAGAGATGGCTCGTGTGAAAACAAGTTTGACACCGGTACCTAATGTTATGGGCGCTGAGCAAATGCAACGGTTGGGCACATGTGAAAGAACTAAATAGAAGTGGCGTCACTTTTTTTTTTTTTTGTTAACTTAGAAAGTGAAGTTGGCTGATCAGTGCCAAGGCTGCCCCAAGGTATGAATATGTGTGCGCTCCGGAAGCTCATCGCATTCTTTGTCATCATTCTTTGCCTGTACAGGCGCTTGCAAAAGTACACTGAACATCACTTGGACATGTAAAGTTGAGTGTTGCATAGTGACATCGTGATGGTGATACTCTGCCGTTATACTTGCAGTGGCGAGCTCAAAGTGAGTCAGAATCTGACTCTGACGTTACGTCTGCTTCTGGCAGCCTGTAACCTAATTACCTAATTTAGTCCCGCGGTCTTTATTATTAATTTGATCCCACTCCTTTGTAGAAGTGTGCGTGTGCCTGGTACTTTCACAGTTGAGCCTTTATTTCAAGAAGAGGATACAGTCTCTGGTCCCCAAATCACAAAATCAAAGTACTATGCTTTGGGGAAGCCTAATTAATGTGTTTTATACAGCATGTGGCAAAAGCTTTGGTGCTCTTGTCATGGAAGGTTGGTCAAAAAAACTATTACGTCTTAGAATACCCAAACGTAACATCTTTGTAATCATGACCAAATTAGGGCATATGCTGCAGTATTTGTGTGCAAATTGTAACTGCTTCAGTGTGGCATGTTTGTGGAGCGTCACAGCGAGGAATTGACAATGAATTAGACTTCCAGCAAATTATAGTCAGAGATGGCTTTCTCTGCCCGTGAATTTATTTTTGATGCCGATTTAAAAAAAAAAAAAAGTTTTTTTTTTTTTTTTTTTTTTAAGTTCACCTCTAAATGCTTGCGCAAGACAAATATTGCCATGCGTTGTCATTCATAGCTATGACGTTTTGGAAAAAAAATCCACCTGTTGCTGAACCTAACCCTTTATTCATCAATATTACTTTATTACGATTATGATGATGATAATGATTATAAGTAGTAGTAGTATGAAAACCTGATGTGCTCAGATTCAGAATCAGCACCAACCCCCCCCCCAAAAAAAAACAAAAACATCCAAAATAGTTGACTTGCATCTCTGATTAAAAGACATGCTAAATATTTCTTGACCAATGCTTTTTTTCAAGGCCCTAGGAATACCCCTGAATGTGCTGAACTCCTGCATCTGTGCCGGTGCAGGAATTTAATTTGTTGTGGATGCAGCTTGACTCATCATAGCTGACATGTCATGTTGTGCATCTTTAGAATGAAAAGAAAGTTGTTGAGACTGAATCTATTCTTTTACGGCACATGTTATAGGAAACGCCGACTTTTCTTTAGAAAGAGTTTTTTTGGAAAGTGTATTTTGGAATACCATTTCCATTCAGTTTCCTCGACTGCCCTGACAATGACTGAACAGCCGCACGGTTCAATGTTGGCTCCTCACCACCTCGCCTTGCAGGAACCTGCCTTGTTTTGACCAAAGCACCAACTGCTTCAACTTTGCTGTGTCTGTTGAAGGAGGTGGTGGTGGTGGTGGGGGGGGGGTGCTTTCTGCTAACAGTCGACCACGCACCCTGCGGTCTTTGTGTGCAGAGCGTCTTCATACTTGAAGTGCCTGCAGCGTGTCGGATGGCGTTGTCGCACCCCCATAAAGCCGCGCTGGCGTGCGCTCCTTGCAACAAGTCGCAGGATGTCATAGATGGGACGTTTTCAGATTTAAATGCGGTTCGGGCCGCCGCGGTGGCAGCTTGCTCACCACGCGCTTCTACTTGTGAGCTGAGAACGTAAACCATCATGGCAGGGCCAAACACCAGTTAAGGTCCAAATTACAACAAGATGTCAGGAAGTCATTGCTGGAATCAAAACTTTTATCAGCCAGTCTAAGTTGGCCAAGTCATCCATTTAAATACAGGCTAAGGAGGTTAGGAAATGGAACAGTGTGGTGGTCTTTGTTTCAGATGTTAGTGGTGGAGTAAAAATGAGCAAACCGGTGCAGACTTATCATTTTCGGGCCCGATTATTCATACAACATGCTTTTCAACTAAAAACAAAGTAAATATGTTATTGTTGATTATTTTAAAAACAGACTTCAAAAGTGGAAGTTAATGCAAAACTCCTGCCCGTTATTATTTTGAAAAGATCTATTATCGGCAGACATCATCTGCTCTTAATCCACCGGGCCCTTGTTCGATTCCCAAAAAGTCCACCCATGTATATAAACGCCATTATGCCAACTACCTACAACAACAAAGTCACTCTAAAATAATGGTCAAGTCCTCCGATGGGACCCTATTTTAATTATATATTTAATTTAATATTTAACTACATAATTTAATTATAATGCAGTAAAAAGGAATCGAGGGAGTTAGGTCTGTCAATAACTACTTGGATTTGTGCACACAGACATGAAGGAAGATATTTCACAAACACACAAAAAAAAGTGGTCAAGAGTCAAAAATCGATATAAAAATAGAAAAAAGTAAAATGACATTATTTTATGTCATTCGGCTTAAAAATTACTGTACATGGGAAAAGCAAACCATGCACAGTACTGTACTACATCGTCATTTACATCCGATGGCGTCCGTCACCAAGGTGGTGCCCTCGGTCACCTGGTGATCCACCAGTGACGAAACGTGATTTTCTTGGAACGTTGTCAAAGTCATCATTGGAAAATGTGAACATTGGCAGAGATGTGTGAAAACAGTGTTGTCGTTTGACAATTATCTGTTTCCTAATAATTGTGACATATTAACGTGATCAGTGTCTTCTCATAAATTATCTTTAATCATATCATAATGTCAATCAAGTGAAGCAAAATGCGTGATTGCAGAAATGTGTGTCAACCTGAAGTACTGTGGCTCTCACTTTCAAATATTTTAGTGACCCCTGTCCTTCCTTCCTTGGTTGCATTTTTTTTTTATCTTTCCCCGGTGACAGTAACTACAAATCTCTACTTTAATGTGAAATAAACAGGAAGCAAAAGTGAGGGTAAAACGAAGTAGAAAGAGAGCGTGAAGGAGCTTTTTAAAGTTCTTGCTATCATTTTGCCGGGAAGGTCAAGCACGTCAAACAGAGTGGTTGGATTGAAATAGTTCCTCTTCTAAGAGGAGATGCTGTGCTCTGATGTGACGGCTAAGCGCAAGACCCCTTTTTGCTCGCTTCTAAAACACAAACACTTTTTCCCAAGATGAAACCATCAACTTGTCGAGAAAGTTTTTCAGATCAACACCTGCTCTGTAGTCAGATGAACGTTGCGTCAACTGGATACTGACTGCGTCTCCCGTCCTTGTGCGTGAGTGCGTTTGCATCATTCCTGCCGTTGTTTAGTCAGCGATTAAAATCATTTTAGCATGTATTTTTTTCATCTGCAGAGCATACAGCTCGTGCTGTGTAGTCCCAAAGGACCAATTTAGGCCTGCTCTGTGCAGTCTGAACAGTTGAGACAGCAGAATAATCAGTGCAGTGCCGTCGTCTGTGTGTGTGTGTGTGTGTGTGTGTGTGTGTGTGTGTGTGTGTGTGTGTGTGTGTGTGTGTGTGTGTGTGTGTGTGTGTGTGTGTGTGTGTGTGTGTAGTACAGCGGTGGTCCCCAACCTTTTTTTCAACCAGGGACCGGTTCATGAGAATATCCATTTTTGCAAAGACTGGCAACCATTCGTCGACAGCAGGGTTGGTGTTGCTCATGTGTATTCCCAAGAAGAAATTAATAAATTGGCAGTGGTGACGACGTACTTTCCCAATTAAGAAAAAAATTGGTTTTGTTTCCCCCACCCCCAAACCCCAAA